TTAACATTCTCCTGTTGTCTTTAGTGTGTATTTTACCGTTGTATATTGAAATCTACTTGGTTTAACATTCTCCTGTTGTCTTTAGTGTTTATTTTACTGTTGTATATTGAAATTTGCATGGTTTAACATTCTCCTGTTGTCTTTAGTGTGTATTTTACCGTTGTATATTGAAATCTACTTGGTTTAACATTCTCCTGTTGTCTTTAGTGTTTTACAACAGTAAAATAAAAACCAAGCAGATTTCAATCAGGAGAATGTTCACACTAAAGACAATACAACAGTAAAATACCATGCAGATTTCAATATTTAACATTCTCCTGTTGTCTTTAGTGTGTATTTTACTGTTGTATATTGAAATCTGCTTGGCATTCTCCTGTTGTCTTTAGTGTGTATTTTACTGTTGTATATTGAAATCGATGAGTGGGTCTTGCACCAGGACGTAGAAAATATTGTTAATTTGAGGTATTATGGGATTTATGTAGATATTATCCCATTCAGTTTTAATCATTTGAATTTAGTGTCTGTTACCATGAGCTAGAGAATAGGGGTCGTTGAATAATTATTTAAAGTTTAATCACTTCAGTAGATATATACCCGTGGCCCTAAAGGCAACAACTTCCATTTCAACTTATGAAAGGCTACAAATCTAAGAAGGGCGACTATTTGTGTGGAGGTACCGGTATTGGCTAGAATGCAGTTGAAGTACCTCCTGATACGATCTTTTTACCCAGCCAAATAGGGCATTAAAGTTGTCTGTAATGATGACTTGCGTTCCCATGTTCATGAGGTGAGTCAGCAAACTAGTTCACCAGCACGTCATAGTGCCACACTATGATCAAGATGCATTCTTTGCCAGCAGACTGTTTATACTTTTAAAAATATATTTTTAATAACGTAAAGAAAATTTAAAATCAAAACCTTAGTTGATCATGGTTTTATTTTAAATAGACGAGTTACCGACAGTAATCAAATAAGCTGTCCACTAACACGGTGTTTAATAGACTTGGTTTTAAGATTTACAAAAACTGGCTGTAGTTTAAATGTTATCATTTCAACATGAATGGGACTTGTAACTCATTTTGGATGTAATTTTATTTTATAACGATGTTATATCCTTATGTGACAATTAACGATTTCAACCTTAAATCATTTTGAAGCCATTTGTTCACATACTCGCCATATTAAAAGTCCCTTTTTTAAAACTCGATAGGAAAATATTTCCGACTATTACAGATTAACTAGCCTGGTCACCGATAGTTCTTGTAGCAAGCCAATGTTTACATTTGTTCTGGGCATGTTTAACTTGCTCCCAATAGACACTTCGTACATCTTCTAGTTCATCCTCCTGCCCCCATGGTCCCAGATAACGGGCATCGTAGTGTTCGCTTGTCACATGGAAAGTGTCGTCAACTTTCCAGTGCCATCCAAACGTGTCCCAGTAGATATCCCAGTCCGGATCCTGTACCCGGGAAACTGTAATGTCGAAGAATTCCGATTGTACCGCATCCGGTGTCTTGTAAGTCCTTACAGGTGAACCGGTCCGAGACGTAACTCTTTTTCCAAGTCGATCACCGTTTTTTTCTTTCTGAAAGGCATCATATCATCAGTATTTAATAATATCCGTTGAGTTAATTATTCAAAACATCTGAATATGATCTCATAATATAACAAAATGACATTCAAGGTGGTCTCTTGGAATCTATAGATGCACTGGTTTTAAAATGTACACTAAAAGGCTTATAAAAACATCTCCCAGCACTTCTTATACAAAGAAGTAATAAGGATATGAAGAATCGTGAAGACATTAATTACTTGTACAAGAAAGTAGCTCCACCTTGCGGGAATGACGTAACAGCAGAAACTAGTAGGCTGTGGGTCCGGAAAGACAAGTTGAACAGTTTGTATACAAGACAATAATACACATGAAAAACTTGACAGATATGATAGCATTTATAAGAAATGTTTAAATTCCGAGTTTTTAAAAAATTGTCTTATGCCAAGAAAGAAAATTAGCTGAGGAAGGTAATTGGGGAGAGGAGTATACAGAAAGAGATTTAAACAACTTTTATCAAGTGAAAAACTAGTCCCGTATTCAATTTATCAGAGACTCGTGGCCTACCTGATCTGATGTTTCTATCCTCACGCCAGAAGATAAGCTTCTTGGACGGATCTGTTTGTCTAGCCGTCCATTTTTGGTAGTGCGCTCGTTCGCTGGCTTTGGTGAGGAGAGTGTGACGATGCGACGCTGACCGTTGGCGTAACTTAGGCACGTGAGGTCGGCTTCTAGAAGGTTCGGCTCTTCTTGTCTGTCTTTTAGAAATATCAAATCGCGGATTTGGCTCTAAAGGTTCACTACACTTTACATTTGTTGAAAGGAAACTACTACTACTCGTGCTAGGGGGTGAACTTTGATTTTCTAGAATGTCTTTGATGACAGACTGAAATTCCTCGGACATACTGTTGATGATATCGTAATAACGTTCGCTTACTTCTTCTTCCGGTCTTAGTTCCTCCACCATCTCAGACATAAACACTTCGTCACACAGGGAAGCCTCGTTACTGGGGGAGTAACTATCGCTATTAGACATATCGGAATACACCACTGGAACTGGCATTATAGGAATGTTTAATTTGGTATTCCTGTCGGTTTCCATGGTTTATGAGAATTTGAACTCGACTTTCAAACTGTGAAAGTTTTAAAAAATTGCGCACCGTTAATAAGTATATATATATTGTTTATCAGGTTCTAAAAGTTGTCGAACAAAATTCAGAAAGCCGCTTCTCTCCTGAAAACAGTTGAAAAATACGTGTTCGCTGTGTATACACACTAGTTGCCATAGTAACATGATCAATAAATTTGTGTTCTTAATTTGGTTGAAACTGTTCACAGAATATTATATTTTCAAACATTTAAATCGTGTATACCGACGAATCCAGTTTTTCAAGTAATTTGTAAATATTCCCGAACTGTCTTTCTGAAAATCGTAACAGATTTCATGACAGGAACTTCCAGCCTGAACGGACACTTTATACACACGTAGGTTAAATGACCTGGTCAGAGGTCACCGTAAGATTCGTGTATCCAGAGGGATACACGCCCCCACAAAGGCTATGTACGGTTATTCAAAACTGTCAATCTTATTAACCCCCACACGAAACGTGTTCAATGGCCTCGAACCCCAGATCCTTTCATTCGCAGTCAGACATGCTAACACTAGGCCACGCCGGCTCATTTTATGAAATAAAAACTTTCCTTTATACATCACAACTCACTCGTACATCATGAAATCTGAAGGACTTGTATATGATAGAGTTCTTGATCCTTTATACATCACAACTCACTCGTACATCATGAAATCTGAAGGACTTGTATATGATAGAGTTCTTGATCCTTTATACATCACAACTCACTCGTACATCATGAAATCGGAAGGACTTGTATATAATACAGTTCTTGATTTTAAAACATTTTAATTAATAACCACTCTGAGAATCAAGACTGTAAACACGACAGTCATAGTCAGGACCTGTATTTAAAAACTCGGTGCTGAAGGAAATAATGATCACGTCTTCAGTTTCAAATCTATACTCGGAGAAAAGTCTTATTTGGAAGTGGTCAAGGCTGGACAACTCCTGACTTTAAGATTTGTAATAAAAATTTTAAAACGGACTCTATTAACCAGGCTTTTTTTTTAACGGCCAGTTCGCAATAAATGGCATTCATGTTTGTCAGACTTTGAAAATTCGATTAATTACGTTTTTCAATTAAGAACAAGGATGTTTTAAACTAAAAATCAATTGTGCTGATGTGAAGTCACAGCATTGCTGGTACAAGTATAAAAAACATTAAAAATACAAGGCATGTACAATACCGATACATAAATCCCAAACCTGTTATCCTGCAAATGTATGCTACCAGTTCTATAGGTATATCTAAGACTGACTTGGCTAACATAACTGACACTTGGAACTTTTAAAAAAAAACAGGTACATTTGAGATTAGTTGGGCTATAAAAAGTATGGTGGAAAAAATGCTCCTTATAAAGAAGATGATCTCGCAGTTAGAGGTAGAAACCCACAAACTTCCATCAGTTTCCACGATAAGATCTAGATGACCCAACCCTTTGGTTAGCAGAAGAGACAACAGCAAACATGTGTAACCAGTTGTCAGATTAGCAGAAGAAGTGGCAAAAAACTCGGAAGTTTTTCCACTGATAACACTATACTACCAAATGAAGCTTGCGCTAGTAGTAACACTGTCGATTTGTTAGACGTTCGTGTGTGGCCCAAGGTATACAGGGAACCAAATGAAGCTTGCGCTAGTAGTAACACTGTCGATTTGTTAGACGTTCGTGTGTGGCCCAAGGTATACAGGGAACCAAATGAAGCTTGCGCTAGTAGTAACACTGTCGATTTGTTAGACGTTCGTGTGTGGCCCAAGGTATACAGGGAACCAAATGAAGCTTGCGCTAGTAGTAACACTGTTGATTTGTTAGACGTTCGTGTGTGGCCCAAGGTATACAGGGAACCAAATGAAGCTTGCGCTAGTAATAACACTGTCGATTTGTTAGACGTTCGTGTGTGGCCCAAGGTATACAGGGACGAACTTTTTGATCATTCCAGAGACAACCTTCTGGTTGAAAGAACACCAACCTAACACCGTTAAATCATTCGATCAAATGTCTCATCTTTAATGACTTACTGAGACGACTTATAAGCTTATTCGTTTGAAATTGTAACACAGGTTTTGTTGATTTATTTTATCAGTACATTTCTTCTGTTATTTGGCTCTAATAACTAATAAAACTTTTCGGTGGTTTCAAACCCGTAGTTTTATTCATTTGTTTGCATCAGCAAAAATATACACGTTTTGATTTCAAAACAACACGCGTCTTGTTACATTCAAGTCCACTCCAATCTATACTTACTTCTCGTTCTTCTGGTCATAGATATGGCTTTAAAAAGGTCACGATCATATCTGGAGGGCAACATCACCATGGCCGAAAGGGAAAATCAAAAATGATCTCATTGCATTCTTGATATATCGATCTATAATCGACAAAAACGTCACAGAATCAAATATAACGGATCAATAAATCGATTTTCAAAAGTCGATCAATGAAAGTCACGAATCAGCTGTTAAGTGTGGTTAAAGACAAATAAGTTTCAGTTTGAAGAAAGCTGAAGTTTTACTAGACAGTGTAGTCTTGGGGCGAAGCCAACAAGTTGTGGTCTTCCCCAGGTGGCAGTGTCCATTAGATTTACAACTCTTCACGATCTCAATATCATATAATAATTTCAAATAGCTGTTATAATACATAATAGTGTTTATTGGCTACCAAACTGATTTTTGCCCAATTTTTGCTTATTTACCAAAATAAACAAATATTTTCAGACAAAAAGATAGATAATTTTGATACAAGTTTTGAGCTTATAAATCATATGTAGATCTAGGTATATTATATCAATGTTCGATTAATATATGGCCGGAGGGGGGGGGGGATTTAAGCCATGGAGGTACGGAGTATATATATTTTTAAACTAATACATATTCATAATTTTTCTTCCGGGCGTATCGTACCGTTAATTTCTTTCTGAGCAGTATGCTTACCAGTACACTTTAACTGACAGTTAAATCTGAAGTTTGCCTTTAACTAACTTCATTCTGAAAGTATTTACCCTATTTTTATAGAGTAAAAAGTAAGCATTGAATATTAATTCATTCCTTAAATATTTCACACATCCCATTTGTACCAGGCTTTCAACGTTTTACCTTTACTCACTATTCTTGTCCCTTAAACAGTTCACGTGTCCACTTATACCTGGTCCTGAACCCTACCTTTACACACAGTTCTTGTCCCTTAAACAGTTCACACGTCCCATTTGTACCAGGCTTTCAACGCTTTACCTTTACTCACTATTCTTGTCCCTTAAACAGTTCACGTGTCCACTTATACCTGGTCCTGAATCCTACCTTTACTCACAGTTCTTGTCCCTTAAACAGTTCACGTGTCCACTTATACCTGGTCCTGAACCCTACCTTTACTCACAGTTCTTGTCCCTTAAACAGTTCACACGTCCCATTTGTACCAGGCTTTCAACGCTTTACCTTTACTCACTATTCTTGTCCCTTAAACAGTTCACACATACACTTATACCTGGTCCTGAACCCTATCTTTACACACAGTTCTTGTCCCTTAAACAGTTCACGTGTCCACTTATACCTGGTCCTGAACCCTACCTTTACACACAGTTCTTGTCCCTTAAACAGTTCACACGTCCACTTATACCTGGCCCTGAATCCTATCTACCTTTACACACAG